CCCCCCCCCGCGTAGTGTTTTTTACACACAGGTTTCCCCGGAGTTGGGTTTTCGCCTGCATTTGTTTCAAAATGCTGCTCTCGCTGAGGCGCCGGCCTCATTTTCGGGCCCCGCTCGTGCCGAATCGTGCTCCCGCTGCAGCGCTGGCCTCATTTCCGTGCTTCCGCTCGTTCCGAATCGTGACCCGCTGCAGCGCTGGCCTCATTTCCGCGCTTCCGCTCGTTTCGACTCGTCGTGTTCCCGCTGCAGCGCTGGCGTCATTTCCCGTGCCATGCCACGGCATGCAATGCAATGCTAGGTTGATGCTACGCTTTGCGGTGCTCTTCTACGCCATGCCATGCCGTGCTCTACAATGCATCGCGTACCCTTTCGGGATCATTGCCCTGCTCGACATCCGACTGTGCGAGCAGAGAGGGGATCTGCGCCAGGGTAAGGGAAGGAAGGGAGGGGTAGGATGTCAGATATGACGCGAGCGCGCCTAGCTTGTCCTCCTCCCCCTCCCCCTCCCCCTCCTTCTCTTCCGCCTGCTCCTCCTCCCCTGGCGGGGCCGGGTGGCGGCAGGCGGCGGGCGCTGGCGCCGGGCGCACGGACGGCATCTACCCCTTCCTCGCCGTCGCCCTAGCGCTATCGGTTAGCGCTGGCAAGAACCCAGGCTGGCGCAACCCTCCCTTTGGGAGCGACCGCCGGGGGGGGGTGGACTGGCTCCCAGCCAAGCTTCGCCGGCACGGGCTGGCGCCCTCTTACTTCTGCCTCCCTTCTCCTCTCCCCGTCCCCTCCCCCTCCTTTTCCCCCATCCACGTTTGCCTCTCTTCCTCTCCTCCCCTTTCCTTTCCTCTTTCTCCTGCTCTTCTTTTTCTTCTCCTCCTCCTCCTCGTTTTTTTCTTCACCTCCTCCTCCTTTTCCTCCTCGTCCTCCTCCCCCTTCTCATCCCCCTCCTCCTCCTCCTCCCCCTTCATACCTGCTCCCTCCTCACTCCTGCCCCCCCCGCCGCCCCCCCTCGTCCCCCTCGTCTCCCTCGCCGGAAGAAGGGGGAACGACTGGGTTGGTGGACGTATCGCTGATTCCCCAACCTTCTCCGCGCTCTTCTCGGCCTGGGCCCCGGCCCGGCGGATGCTCGAAGCGCCCGGCTCGTGCCACTCCACGTTTGTTTCACTCGTCGGGAGGCCTTTTTCGTAAAACGTACCCTCTGTGGTAGATGTGACCATTGCCCACTTCCTTTTCTACTCATCTTATCTTACTCCTCGTTCTCCTCCACCTCCTCCTCGCCATCCCCTCCTCCGTTTCGCTCTTCATCCTCCCCCTCCCGCACCATTGCGTCCATGTCGTCTTCAGCCTCATCCTCGTCTATGTCCTCATGTCCCTTCTCCTCTTCATCGGAATCCCTCCTCTTTCTGATCGCTTTCATTTTTGAGATTTCCTCGACGCTGCGCTCCTCACTCCAACTTCTCCTCTTCCTCATCTGCCTCCTCGTCCTCCCCCTTCTCCTCGTCATCATCCACCCCATACCTACCCCCTTCTTCTCGGCGTCATCGTCCTCCTCCTCCTACCTCTTCTTAGTATTACTCCTGCTCCTAATCATCTTCGCTCCTCACCGTCACTCCCCACTCCTCGCTCCACACTCACCGCTCTTCACCCCTCAAATTCCCATTGTCCCCCTCCTGCTCCGCCCCGTTTTCCCCTCTTCCACCTGTTCCGTCTTGCTTACCAATGCCCTCCCCCTGCTCCTTCTCATCCTCACCTCCGCCCCTTTCTGTATGATGCATCCCCGTTTGTTATGATGCATCTCCACTTGTGATGATGTATCTCTCTTTCTTTACTCTGATGTATGACACGTCGCAGGTCTGCCAACATCTGGCATAGCTTCACGCATCAACTTGCCGACGCGCTGTAGGAACTTGCCTGTGAAACGCCAGACCACGACGACGTGAACTTAGCGTGGAGCCAGCTCGCAGATGGACTTCTGTGCGCTTCGGAGAGCACCTTCCCACGGCAGACGAAACACCCGAGGAAGCCGTGAACGCGGCCTCGAACCCTGGATAACATAGATCGTTGAGCGGCTGCCAGACGGAGGGGGGGACAGGATAGAAGAACAACCCTTAGAGAAAGAGACCCAACAGGCGCCGAAGGCCACCCCAAGACGGCCCCAAGGGCCTCCAAGAGGGCCCAAAGACGGCCAAAGAGGCCACCGAGACGGCCAAAAAGCCCCCAGGACGGCTCCGAGAGGGGCCCAGACAGGGAACCTGAGCGGATACTTGGAGCCCTCGGTCCCAACCCCCAGGCGGCCCCCAAAAGGCCCCCGAGAGGTCCAAGGAGGAGGAGGAGGAGGAGGAGGAGGAGGAGGAGGAGGAGGAGGAGGAGGAGGAGGAGGAGGAGGAGGAGGAGGAGGAGGGGGGGTGAGGGGGTTGGGCAAGACCCTGGACAGCGACACCGGAGCAGACACCCTCGCGGGGCACTCGGAGGGGGTGCAGTGGGCCGTGAGGCCTGCGACAGCCGCGCTCTGCACGGGAATGAGC